TGTTCCTTGTTCCTTGGGCAGACACCCATTCCTCAGGCACCAGAGAATCTCTAGAGAAGAACATTGTTTTGCATCCATACCTGGGCTAGAAGGTTCAGAATTTCTGAGATGTTCTCTTCTGGAAGTAATCTCTCTTCCTTCAAGCTTCCACATCATGGTCATGGATTCTCAGGGTATATAACCCCAGTCCACTGTCTAACTCACTTTGCATAGATTGGAGTTGGTCCTGAGCTGTGCTGAAGCTCCAGAGGCATTCATTTGCCTGGGCCCTGTGCCCTTTCCAATAATGGCTTTAAGTTTACAAAGTACTCTATGTAGTTTTCCTTTGATTTTCAGAAAAACCTGTGAAATAAGTGCTTAAAGGTTTTATCACCCCATTTTACAGATGAGGACACTGAGATTCAGAAACTTTAAGTGACTTGCCTGCTAGCTTGTGGAAGCATATTTTAAAATATTTTAGTTTCTATAGAAATAATAAGAAATAATATCTCACCAGCCTAAAACTTTTCCTTTTAGGAAAATGTGCAGAACAAAAAGTAATTCTTAGAGAATTGAATTAAAAATCTTTGAACAAAGAATAACTCTACTTGTTTACAGCATTCTCTTTCTCACCTCAAAGTGATATTGATCCATCTAAAGGCAAGCCTTTCCTTATCATTTAAAGGCATTATCCCAGAATTCACCTAAGAGAAGCTTAGAGAACTTCTATTCACCTAAAAGAACCTATATTGCATAGGAAGGGAATCACCCTCACCTCCTTCTACTTGGAAGAGTTTGATGACTACTATGGAAGTGTTTTGCATGACTACACATGCATAACCTGTATCGAGTTGCTTGCCTTCTCGATGAGGGTGGGTGGGGAGGGAGGAAAGGAGAAAATTTGGAACCTAAAGTTTTAAAAACAAATGTTAAAAATTGTTTTTACATGCAACTGGGAAATAAGATATACAGGCAATGGGGTATAGAAATCTATCCTGCCCTACTGGGAAATAGAAGGGGAAGGGGATAAAAGAAGGGGAGGGTGGAGATAGAAGGGAGGGAAGATTTGGGGAAGGGGTATTCAGAATGCATGCTGTCTTGGGGTGGGGAGAGGGATGGAGATGGGGAGAAAATTTGGAACTCAAAATCTTGTGGAAGTGAATGTTGAAAACTAAAAACAAATTAACGGAATCCTAAAAAAATTAAAATTAAAATTAAAAATAAAAGAGTTTGAATTTCTCCCATTGGTTTTAATTCTTTACAACATGACTAATGTGAAAATAGGTTCAATATGAATGTATACATACAGCCTATATCAAATTGTACGTGGCCTTGGGCTGAGGGGAGGGGAGAGATGGGGAAAAAATTTGGAACTCAAAATCTTATGAAAGTGCATGCTGAAAACAAAAAATAAATAAATAAATTTTGAAAAAAGAAAAGAAAAGAATTTGGAGTCTCAATTTCTATTTCTGGGAAGAAAGAGTCCCATTGCTTCCCCCAGGGGAGTGGTCCAAGAGAAAATGCCGTGGTCATTTTTTAACTCATCTTTACTTGAATATATTCACTTAATGTGATTTATTTTTTTTTTGCTCCAGATTCCTATAAATGTACCTGGAGAGCACTTCGGAACCCAGGAAGAAGCTGTGCACAAGGACAACAGAAGGCCCCAGACTCAGACCAGGCTACCCCCAGACGGGTTGGGGTACTGTGCCCCTTCCTTGCTTCCAGTGTTCTGACACTTCCTTCCCCTGTGAACTAACTACACCAGTTTAGTTGACTTCCTCACACACAATTCTGCACCTCTTCAATCCACTGTATTTGTCCCAAGTTGTCCTTTTATACCTGGAATGCCCTCCCTTTGTACCTCTGCCTCCTAGCTTCTTTCAAGACCCAGCTCAAATTTGACCTTCTGTAGATTTTTCCCTGCCTATCCCTAAGCCCACCCTTCTGAGATTGCCTTCTATTTATACTGTACGTATTCCTTGTATATGTATACCTTGATCATCCAGGGACCACACCTTGGTCATCCAGGGACCGCCTCTTGGCCTTTGTCTGCATCCCCATTGCTTAGCACAGTGCCTGGAACATAATAGGTATTTAATAAAGGCTTGCTAACTTACTGTACCATGTCTTGTCCGTTAGAATGTAAGCTCCTTGAGGGCAGGGACTGTTTTTCCTTTTTATTTGTTATCTTCAGTGCTTAGCACAGTATGGAATACACCTCTTAACAAGTGTTTGTTAATTGATTGATGGTCAGTCTTGAAATTAACACCTAAGTAATACTTTGAGCCCTTGAGGCCCCACTTTCTAATTGGATGACTCCTCCCATAACCTCCATATAAGGAGGGTGCCATGGTCCATTAACTCTTAAGTTTCTCACCAGGCTGAAGGCTGGACTTTTCCAGCATGTCTTCCTCACCCCCACCCTTATCAGCTCCCTTTCACGGGTTTCCCATCCCCCATCCCCACCCCCACTCTCTCCTTTCATGGGTCTTCCTTCTTTAGAATGTAAGCTCCTTGAGGGTAAGGATTATCTTCTTTTATTTTCTGCCAGTATCTCTGTTTCCAGTACTTATCACAGTGCCTGGCACGTAATAAGCTCTTAATAAATGCTTGATGACTGACCATCGCCTGGCTGATTGACAATGTAGTGTCAGAAGTGACATTCACACTCACATCTCCTGGCTCTAAGTCCAACCCTCTTACCACCATTAACACCTTGATTCTAGACAGTGACAAGAAAATTCTTGCTAAAATCTTTTGGGGACCATCATGACAAAGCACTGACTCTGGAATCAAAATCAGATGACGTGGCTTCAGTGTTCACCTCTGATCTAGTGGGATTTGGGGGAAGTCGCCCTGCCTGGGCCACAGTTTCCCCATCTGTAAATCAATGGGGTCGGACGTAATGACCTCTGCGGTCCCTTTGAGCTCTATATCAACTATGCTAACAAATTTGGAACCTTCTCCATTACATCATGGGCACAGTGGATTACCCAGAAATCTGACATTAAAGGCAAGGGCTCCAGGACTGTGACCTTTTTGGCCTTGTGTTATGATTCTGAACTCATTCCCTCTCTGAAAAAATGAACCACTCTAGACCTCTTCGAAGCGGGTGCTGGTACAGGGTGTAAGGGAAATGGAATCCAAGACAGGCCGAATGCAGTGCTGGGATCTCCGAGGGGTGCTTGGGAGGGGAGGGCCCCTCTGGGAACCTGCACAGCTCCCTCCTTCGGGAAGTGGTCAGCCACCAGAACAATGAACAATGCAGAAGATCACTTTTCCTGGTTACAAAGGGCTCTGTTCAAGCTGGGTTGGCTGCAGCCAATTCTCCCAGCTACTATTTATTCACCTGAAGGGAGGTGGGGGTGGGGAGATAAGAGAGGCTCCATTTAGTTCGAACCATGACTCCCATCCCCCATCCCCACCTCCACTCTCTCTCAGGTCTGGGCAACAGCGGGACACTTGATTTTTCCTCCTTTCCCTAAGAATGCTGGAAGATCCCCAACACACTTCCATACCTCTTCCAGTTCTTCAGATCAACCCATAACCTGGTGCTCCAGGTACTCCAGAATCCACAAAACTCAATGCAATCTACTCATGTTTATTTATTATAATTGAACATGCAGTTACCTGCTGTCATTTTTCTCATGGCCTTATCTTTATTTTCCCCAATCAATAGCTTATTTGTGCCCCTGAAAAACATCATCCGAATATTTTCCAATATGTCCTCCCTTGCAACAAAGAAAAATACTTGAGCAAAATATAATCCCCAAAGACACTGCATCTGACAGTATATGCAACATTCCACACTCCTGGTCCTTTACCTTTCTATGGAGAGGGAACTCATAAGCCATATACTTCTTGTGAGAGCACAGGACAATTTCTTTTTTGTCTCTATTCCCAGAACATAGTTGGTGCTTAACAAATGTTTCTTGATTGACAGGCCTCTTAGGACCACAAATGTAGAGCTGAAAGGGCATTGAAGGTTATCTAATTGAACTCATTTTACAGATAAAGAAGCTATTAAGATTCAGATGTTGTGACTTGCACAAGGTCATACTGCAATTAAAGAACAGAACTGGGATTCGAACCCAGGTCCTCTGACTGTCCAGTCCACGTTCTTCCCACCGTTTTCCCCTCTTTTTCTCTGGGACCAAGATTGGTTATTCAAACTGAAACTGGGGGGCAGGTAGGTGGCACAGTGGATACAGCACTGGCCCTGAAATCAAGAGGACCTGAGTTCAAATCTAGCCTCAGACCAAACACTTGACACTTACTAGCTGTGTGACCCTGGGCAAGTCACTTAACCCCAATTGCCTAAAAAAAAAAAAAAATTGAAATTGATCTGAATTTGGCAGCACCTTAAGGAGTCATGGCACATTTGTCTTTTTCTCAGTTCTTTCTTTGCTCAGTACCAGTTCCTTTATCTTCCCTTGTTGCCCTGTTAGTCCTATTAGTCATCAGTCAACAAGCATTTATTTAGTACTTACTGAGTACCAGGCACTTGGCTAAGCACTGGCGATACAGAGCATGTATTAAAAAAAACAAAACAAAAACCCAGCCCCTGCCTTCAAAGAGCTCACATTCTAATAGGGGAGACAATATGCAATTAAGCTACAGATCAGACAGAAGGTAAACTGAGGGAAGGCACTGTTCCTGGGGGACTGGAAACCTTCCTGCAGAAAGGGGGGATTTGAGCTGCCTTGAAGGGAGTCTGTATCATTTACTACATCACAGCACTTTGTGCAGCCTCCTCCCAACCAGGAAATTTCCAGTTTCCAGCTTCTCCGCTACCAGGGTGCTGCTGATGCTATGACTATTTTGTTATAGAGCCTCTCCATTTCTCCCCAGTTTTATACCTGACTTCTAAGAAACCGAACTTCCTCAGTCATATTGGCTCCTCTTTCCTTTTCACTGGGAAAGAGGAAGTACCCCCCAACGTCGGCCTGGGATGATAAAAAGAAGTTATCAAGTGCACATACCTCCCTGGAAGAAATAAACTCAGTCCAATCCCTGACAAGCTATTAAAAACCTTTATTGTTATTTTTTCCCCAACAGTTACATTTTTAGTCAAAATATTAAGCCACAGAAACACTTTCACTTTTCTTCTTCAGAAGATGAGACAGGTCAGAGTTGTCATTGGGGACACAAGAGAGATGCATGTTAGCTTGACACGGGCAGGTATGAGGCCAAAGAGAAACACATAGCCACTCCATCTGGAGTCTGCCCCTTGAAGAGAGCTGCGCTCTTACAAAGAGTACACTAGGCAATAAGAGACTGAAACCTGACTCCAAGGAGGGCGCCCTGGCATGTCGGGGCTCTCGGAGCTCACCCATGATTGGGATTCCAGCTGACGACACTGAGCATTGCTTACATGTTGTCCTTTGTAGGTGAAGATATTGCTACTGACCCACGATCGAGGAGTCTACCTAGAGGAGAGGAGATGAAGAGGCACATCCTCTTTCTTACTCCTGTTTCGTTTGTGACCAAGGCCAGGCAGCCTGGCAAGGGTTATGGGCCACTTTATATTGTACCAAACTAACTGACCTTGAAGGGCTTGGACCAGAGATCGTGGTGGCTTCCTTAGCGTTACTAATTGGTCACAGACAGCAGAACATTCTGCTGCTCCCTCTCTTCACGTGCTTGAGGTCATTAACCCACTGGCACACCGAAGCTGCACACTCAGGCCTTGGTGACTGCAGGTTGGCCCCAGGCCCTTGGGCAGGAAGTGCTGTTTGGCTCGGAGAATGTCATCCACTCCCTGGGTAAAGGGGTTAGAGCTAGACCCTTTAAGAAAAACTTTGGATTTGTTCGGGGATGGGGCTGAGGCTTCCTCTTCCCCAAGAAAAGCTTCATATGGAGTTGGCATCTTTTCATTTACCTGCTTGAAAGCACAGTCCTGTGCATGCCACACAAAGGTAGGCAGGAGAGATGGGGGTGCAGGGATCCTTCAGGGGGAGGAAGGCTGGGTGGCCATGGGGAGCTTCTGATCTAACACTGCCTGCAGGGATTTGGCACAATAGGCTCCCTGCTTTCTCTGCACCAATCCCTGGCTCCACAGGGCCTGGGCCCTGGGACCACGTACAAGTCGGGAATTAATAAATGTGAGCTGATGCTGGCCCTACCTGCCACGCTGGGAGAAGGCCCTGGGAGGGGCCTGCCAAGCAGAAATCTTGGCAACTATGGTTGATGGTTTTCTTTTCAATATGTAGGCAATTACAAGGGGCGGTGTAGGCTGGGAAGACTGCCCCTTGCAGGAGAGGTCTTAGGCTCTCCAGACATTCTAGTTACTGCAAGACTGTTAGTGTAGGGATGGGGTGGTAGAAGCATAAGGGACGGGAGGGGAAAGTGGGGTAGACCAAAGGCATCCCTAAGACTGGTGAATCGAGCCCCATCTCCTCAACTGGCCACAGGTTCCAGAGCCAGGGGTCAAGTAATCCTGTGGGAAGGGTCTGTGTGCTTCACGAGGGGCCTCACGGTATTTAGCGTCCTTTACTCCTAATGTTGGAAGCAGCAGAAATCTCTAAACAAGGATGGATAAGAGCTTGAGGGACCAAAATCTCCCCTCCAAGTAAGAAGCTTCTGGGCTGCAGCACAAACAAGGTTGTAAGGTGGAGAGAGGGCTGGATTTTCCACAGCAACATCATCCTCACTCTACAAAGAGTGACACGCACATGCTAGAGAGCGAGCTCAAACACACACACACATACACACACACACACTCACTCACTCTCTCTCTCTCAGCTCCTGGTGACCTCTTAACACTGACTCTTACAGAACTGAAATACAGTCTGTCCTGGGTCCCCAGCTGTGCCCCCACCCCCACCCCAGGGGTTCTTTTACTTTCCAGTTCCAGTGAGGGCAGGTGCACTTATTAATGCAAATACACTCTTGAGCTGGCTTCCCCCTGGGACCAGAGATTTCAAGCAGCAGAGGTGGTGTGGTTTTGTTGTTGTTTTTTGGGGGAAATCTATGGCTACTGGAGCCATGGAGGAGCCAACGGGAAATCAAACACATCGACCATAAGCCAATCAAATTCAAAAATAAAATTTAAAAGCAGCAGCAGCTCTTTTGTGTAATAAATATCGCAAAGCACACTTGGTTTTGTATTTTTTTTTCAAGTCAAATGTAACAGCCAATGCCCCAAACCCTATTCTCTTTACTCAGAATCAAGCTGTTGAGATCAGCAGAATACCTGAAACCAATCAAAGAGACAAGCGTTTTCCTTTCACCAGCCAATCAAGAGGTGTTTCCAGTTTTAGGTAGCCAATCAAAACCTTTTCACATTCCTAAAAATGACCTAAATAAAGCACCAAGGCATAGGACAGCTTCCTGGGAAGTTCTATGCCCAGACAGCCAGAAAAGGGATGAGGTGGTGAAAGAGGCAGAAATAAAAAGAAAAGGTTTCCATCGGTCAGGATTTAAAAAATAAAAAGGTTTCTCCCTGTAGCCAATTGCAGAGTCCATCCCTTTGAACCAATCCCATGTGCACCACTGGTCTCTCCCTTGAGAACACAACCAGCTGAGTAGCGGGGCTGGGAGGTGCTTTCCAGGGCAGGGTGGAGGGGTTAGGGGCCTGAAGGCTGGGAAGGGGGAAAGGGCAGGGGACCTGGTGCAGTCAGCCAGCTTCCTGAGCTGGCAGAGCTCTCATGGCCCTTGTTGGCTTCCAGGGGGTTCCAGGATGCTTCGTAGCTATTGCCTCCTGTCCTCTGTTTCCGACCTGGAAAACGCCATGACCACGTCCTCTGCACCTGCATCACAGAAAAACAGAAGCCGGGTGAGGGAGGGCACCAGCAAGTAGTAGGGCTGGTGGCTGAGGAGGCCCTAAATAGGCCCCATGACCCAAGAGGCCTCTAAGGAATTTCTTCTGCCATTCTGACCCCAACCTTTCAGCACACTCCACCTTGCTGTAAACTGCTCACTCTGCCTTCATTTCCTTAACGTCTTCCCATTACCAGTGCTGTGGACAAGCCTTCTAGAGCTAGAATCATATTAGAATAACCACGGCTAAGGGTTGAAAGCAACTGACTTCAGGAGCAGCCCTGGAGGCTTGAGGGTGGGGATGGGTGAATGCCCTCCAAGCTCACTTCTTTCATTTATGTATTCACTTGCGTGGTCTGGACAGAGTGTAATTAATAAACTGACATAAGAGCAACTGTTTACAGGCTTGTTAGAGAGTGAGGAGGGTAGAGGTGGAGGAGGAGAAGAGAGAGATGTGGATCTCCTTCACTGCTGCTGTTGCTAATAATAATAATGATAATGATAATAATAAATAGCTGACATTGATATAGTGCCTACTATGTGCCAGGCACTGTACTAAGCTCTTCGTAAAATATAATGTCACATGATCCCCACAACAACCATGGGAAGTGCTATTATTATCCTCATTTTTCAGATGAGGAAACCGAGGCAAACAGAGACGACATGACAGGGTCACTTTTTTTTTTTTAAATCACTTAAGTTGCTTTAGTCAAGCGTTTTCCACCAAGGGCCGCCTCAGCATACTGGGCCTTCTTAGGATCTTTCGGTTAGAGATAGAAGGGTCATCTTGTCCAGCCCCTTACTTCACACAGGAGAGAATGGCAAGGTCAGGGAGGTGCAGTGATTTATCACAAAGTACGTAGCAGAGCCAAGATTCAAAGCCAGGTCCTCTGGCTGCTCCACCCTCCTGCCCTTTCTGCTTTTCTCCTTAGCTGATCTTCACTGGGGTCAGACCTGCTCCCTCCTGGTGTCCCACAGGGAGCTTTCCTAGGCCAACTCCTCTTCTCCCTCTGATTCTGCTTCATGTTAGCACCTACGGATTCAGTTAGCATGTTCACACTGATGATTCTCAAACCTCAGATCTACTTATCCAGCCCTGACCTCTCTGTCTCACACTTCCACCTGCCTTTCAGATAGTCTGAACCATCCCACTACGTCAAAGCCTGAGCTCACTGTCTTTCCTCCTAGACTCTCTTCCCTTTGAAGCCGAGGGCACCCCCCTCTCCCAGTCAGCCAGGCCCACAGCACAGGAGCCATTCTTGACCACTCTGCCTGCCTCTCTGTCACCCTCTCCTGTCCAAGCTGTTACCAAGGCCTGCTGATTTCACCTTTTCCCCCTCCCTCTCTCCTATGACCGGCCCTCATCACCTCATGCCTCAGTCCGTCTTCATTTAGCTGCCAAAGTGCCAGTCTGACCACATTTCCCCCTGTACTCATTAAACTCCAGAGCTTCCCTATGAACACCTCCAGGATCAAATAGAAAATCCTCTGTTTTACGGTGGAAGTCCTTCACACCACGCCCCCCTTCTCACCTTTCTAGTCTTCTTACACCGCTCCCCCACCTCCATATGCTCTGACCCAGTGAACCAAGACTCTATCTCCCAGGTCTGGGCATTCTCTCTGGCTGCCCCAAGGCTAGATTGCTCTCCTCCTCTGCTAGGACTGCCAACCTCCCTTGTTTCCTTCAAGTCCCAGCTAAAATCCCACCATCACAGGAAGCCTTTGGTAGACCCTCTTCATTCTAGTGCCTTCCCCTGTTAATTGTTCAAATTTACCCTGTCTATAGCTTGTTTTCGCATAGTTTCTGCATGTCTCCATTAGACTGTGCTCCTCGAGAACAAGTCCTGTCTTTGACCTTTCTCTGTATCCCCAGCAGTTGGCACAGAGTCTCGCATACAGTAGGTGCTTAAAAAATGTTTATTGAATGGGGCATCTAGGTGGCACAGTGGATAGAGCACCGGTCCTGGAGTCAAGAAGACCTAAGTTCAAATCTGGCTTCAGACACTTGACACTTACTAGCTGTGTGACTCTGGGCAAGTCACTTAACCCCATTGCCTAACCCCCCCAAAAAACGAAGTGTTTATTGACTGACTGGAAGCTGTGGTTGAAAAGTTCTGTCTTGTCCTGAAGAGACTGGGACCAACAGCTTAAAAGATAATAGATCAAAGCCAGAAGAGAAACTAGGGGTCATCTAAGCAAACCTGCTCATTTGGCAGATGAGGAAACTGAGTCACAGAGAGGCTAACTGATTTGCCCAAGTTGCACAGGCAGTAACGGACCAAGCTGGGGCTCCAAACATACTTGTCCTTCGCTGCACAGTCAATCGGGCAGACAGCCTCCCTCCTCCACAGAGTAAACGCTGAGTTTTGTGGCTATGTTATAAAGTGCTTGTGAAGTTCCCAATGTCATAGGTAGTTAATAAGAACAAGAACTGAATCTGGAGCATTTTAGCAAGTAAATGGAAACGCACCTGGCCTGCCTGGACACAGGGCACTAAGAAATGCATTCCAAATGAGCATAATTCTCTGAGAGTCAACATTTTTGCAGGGTTCAGATGAAGTCAACATTTTCATCTGAGGCTCAGAATTGATTAAATTAATAAAATGCATGAAAGGCCCACTCCCTAATCAATTAGTAGTCAAAGAATATGAACAGTTTTCCAAAGAAGGAATTAAAATTATTTATAACTAAATGAAAAAATACCCCAAATTACTAATAGGAGACATGCAAATGTAAACCTCTTTAAGGTATAACTTCACACCTGCCAGACTGGCAAAGATGGTAAAAACCAGAAACAGACTATGTTGGCAGGACTGTGGGAAGGCAGGCATACTAATAACACATGGTTGATGGAGCTGTGAATTACTCCAAGCATTCTGGAAAATAATTTGGAATCGTGTGAAAACAATCCATTTACTTTACTGCTGTTTATCTATCTTTTGAGACAGGGTGTCCCTATCTCACCCAACCTGGAAGTGGAATGGCTACTTACTCTGGCTAACTGGCACAGAAGGCTTGGCCCTCCTCAGGCAGCCTCATGCTCCCTGTTCCCAGGGGCTCACTACATTGATGCCAGGCTTAGTGTGGCCATCTGATCTCCTTTAGCCAGAATGCAGCTCAGGGCTCCTGAGCTCACCAGCTTCAGCCGTCTTAGTAGGAGGGAATCACAGACATTGGCCACCATGGTTGGCTATTCATGAGCTTTGACCAAGGGATCCCACTATTGGGCAGCGAGAGAAGAAGTCAGAGATTGCAAGGTGCTACACAGAGCTCCCATTTATGCAGCAATTTAAGGTTTGCAAAGAGCCATGTGTCTGTTATCTTGTCTGATCCTCAGAATAACCCTGTGAAATAGTTGCTATCATTAGAATCCTCATTTTACAAATGGAGAAACTGACACTGAGAGGTTAAATGACATGTCCAGGGTCACACAGCTAGGAATTACCTGAAGCAGGATCTGGCCTCCTTTTCCCCCTGGATCCAAGTCCACAGCTCAATCTACTTCCCTCTCCAGCCTCTCCTACAAGATTCACAGCTGCACTTCCTATGAATGCTGGCTGATTAATCCACTGAAATGGCAAAAAGCTAGAAACGAAGTGCATGCCCATCAGCTGGGGAATGACTGCACAAACTGGAGCACAAGAGAATTATGGGAGAGCATTCTATAAGAAGTCATGACAAATATGGGCAAGTCAGGGAGAATACGGGGAGGAGGCAGGTTTCCTGAACTAATGCAGAGAAGATGACCAATAGATACACGGTCACTTTCTCTTTCTTTTTTTAATCAATTATTTATTTTTAGGCAATAGGGGTTAAGTGACTTGCCCAGGGTCACACAGCTAGTAAGTGTCTGAGGTCACATTTGAATTCAGGTCCTCCTGACTCCAGGGCTAGTGCTCTATCTACTGCACTAGATAGTTGCCCCACACAAGGTCATTTTGAATGCACACTAAAAGATAACACAATTCAGTCCAATGAAACTTTTCTCTTCAGTTACTAAGGTCCTCATTGCTTTCTCTGCAGTTTCCCCAGAGAGGATGGAATGGAAGCTCCCTGAGGACAAGCACTATTTCACTTTTTCCCATAGACACATAACAGGCACTTAATCAATGCTTATTTGAATACAACCACCCCAGGCAGTTCCCAAGTACTGAAGCTGGAGTGCACTTGCTTCCTTTCCAGACAGGATGACCTACAGGTGTGTGTAGACACCAACTGTGTCAGGCTCTGGTCGCTTTATTGGACAATTTTAACCGGTGTGGGGGTAGGGGTGGACAGTTATCAGGAAATGATTGCAGTGTCAAAAAACAAAATACATCAATAAAACATTCAAAATAAAATGAATGAGAGAAGACGTGAAGGGTGGGCAAACAGAAAACGAGTGGGTAGCTCATCCTCCCCCCAAATCTTCGCAGCTTGTCTACAGGAGCAAGGTCTGGACTAACTTCTGACCACAGGCACCCGCGTGCTCCAACATGCACAACATCTTTTTTTCTGACTACAGGATTCTGGTCTAGGTCTTCGTGAAATCACTTCCTTTGTCATGTTTTCTATGATGGGCCAGAGGGGAGGGAGAAGAACAAAGAGAAACAAAAAAGTTCACCCACACCCCCTCATTCCCAAATCTCTAGGAAGGCATTTTGTTCAAACTCCAGACACCTGGAAGGGAAATGGGAGTCTTCCCCCCAGCCCCCACTAAGGGGAGGGAGAGGGAAGAGCTCAAGCTGCATTCCAGGCAATCTGACCCAAACTGCCCTCGAGGGCCTGCCTGCTCTCTGGAGCAACTCTCAGCTGCTACCCAAACACCACCAGTCAAGTCAGGCTTTTTTGGCTTGTTTCTATGGAGCATTCAAGGAGGAATTCTTCCTAGGAGGGGGAGGATTGGAATGGCGAGTCAGAAAAGGCAAGCCGAGGGCAGCCCAGCGGGCTGGTGGGGGCAGCTTTGCTCTTTGCATGTGAGTGGGCAGAAGAGAGGGCAAGCCCCGCCCTG